AAAATCAAAATCGTCTCAGTGGCTCTTTGGAAGAGCTGGAAACCCCTTGGCACCACATCTGCCCTCCCATCTGCAGTTCTATCACTGCCAGCTGGAGGGGAAGTGGTGAGTGAATAAAGTTTTGCAAAAATCACAAACAACGCTGCATACTTCACACTCGTGGAGAAACGTGCCAATAGTAGGACTGCTGCTTCCTTTGTGTTCATGCGTCTTTTTGTTTATCGCGTGTTTTACCTCTAAAACCCCCCAAAGAGAAGTTCCACAAAACTTTGGCCTTTGGGACCAGTGATCATTGTGTCTTGTAAAGTTGGAACAATAACTGGCTTAAAGCGGCACTGAATGACTTTTAGGGATGTTTCCTTTCCTATTTACTGTTATTTACACACAGTTTCAATTATTTCAGATAACGCAGCTGAAAATCGACCATAATCCATTTGCTAAAGGATTCCGTGACACGGGCAATGGGAGAAGGGAAAAGAGGTAAGCTAGAGGGAAAAACGGGAATATACGTGAAAATAAAGGGCGAAAAGACTTACTGCATTTAGGCTACATGTAGACAGACAGTGATCTTGCTGGATTAAAACTACGTCTAAGCTTCCACATTAACCGCAGGGGGTCCGACTCTTCACAAGATTACTCTAAATCTATAGGCTAATTCTAAAGTCATAAATCTTTTGAATAAAAATAATCTTACTAAGCTTCTACATTATTTGTTATGTTTTTTAACCTGAACTGTGGCTACCACCTATAATAACCTAGCTACTTGCGCGCAGGAAACAGCTGGCCCTGCAATCCATGCGTTCCTACGAGGAGCATCAGAAAAAGGAAAACGGGGCTTCAGACGACTCCTCTGGAGAGCAGCCTTCTTTTAAGTGTTTCGGCCAGGCCTCGTCCCCTGCAGTGTCTACAGTGGGCCCCCCACACCTGAAAGGTAGGCTGACAGACCCCACCACTGGTCACAGCTCTGATCACAAGTTATGTGTCAACTCGTAAAATTTCCACTATGCCAAGACTTTTTCAGGGTAGCTGAACGTAATGTGTTCAATTAAATCTGCGAAGCCAAGCTATGAATGAATAGCTGATCATTTACATGAGGAAAATTGATAGGGAAAGTCTCTACAATTACCGTCTCGTTCAGATTAACAATAAACAATTAAACAAGGATTAGCCACAGTATAGTTGGTGCTGTTGTGTCTGCTACAGCTGTTTTGGAGCAATTTGCAAAAGAAACATTAAAATACTCAAAAAGGGCCATGTGAGAATGTGTAACACACCGCCATCTATTATTGGAAGCAATGCAAATAAACCTCATCGGTGTGGATTCCTATTGTGCAATAAATGTCCTGCGTGTTTGTTTTCTATTCGACCTCTGAGGGTCAGCTGTAGCGGGCTACCTCAGATAGTAGGAGTTATTATTATTGCCATGATTCACCCATGTGCGAAAGGGAAACTGATATTCTACTCCTCCTACTTACAGACTTCTGCGACAGCGATGAGGATAGCGACGACGAGAGCAAAGATGGACACAATAAAGATGGTCCGGACTCCAGCAAGATTTCCACCACCACAGAGGACGGGAAGGATCACGAAGCGAGTCCAGCTAAAGGGCATCCGTTCAGTAACAGTGACTCTACTAGTAGGACCCGCGAAAGCGGTCCCAGGACTGAGAAAAGCCAGGCAGACTCACGGCAGAGCCCCATCACTGTTATCTCCAGTACCACCCGCTCTGGAGAAGAACTCAAGAGCCCGAACCAGGACCATCCCAAAACGGACGAATGTAGGTCAATAAGCAAGGACAGTTTCATGCCTTTGACCGTTCAGACTGACAGCGCACACATAGGTCACAGCCACCTGCATAATTTTGGATTTCCTACAGGCCTAACAGGACAACAGTTTTTTAATCACCTAGGGAGCGCGCATCCGTTTCTCTTGCACCCCAGTCAGTTCAACATGGGGGGCGCATTCTCAAACATGGCCGCAGGCATGGGACCACTATTGACAGCCGTGTCCACGGGAGGGGTGAGCACCATGGACACAGCTAGTATGGCATCACCTCCGCAAAGCTTGACGGGGGCGCCAGGTCTGCCCTTTCATCTGCAGCAACACGTCTTGGCATCACAGGTAAAACCCGTTTTCTCTGGCCTGTGGGCCTACCGCCAGCTTTGCGCAAACATGTGATTGGCATTTCAACACAGCCGACTAGGCCCAGATTTAATATCGTGTGAGATAATACTATGCATTTAATGCTCACAAGTTAGCGTGAACACGATTTGAGAAAGTGTGCGTGTGGTTGTGCGTGTGCGGCTGTATTGTTCTTGCGGGGGTTTGTTTATTTTGTTTTAAGGCCAAATGGGCTAATATTCGAAGTGAAGTCATGCAGCTGTATTTTGACTGAGCACGGTGTCGTGGGCATGGTTTTACTAGATTTCACTTTGGACTCTTGTTGTTAATTCTAGAGTAACAATGTCTGGTTAAAAAAGGCTGGATTTGAGGCAACCTTACAAAAAGCTTTTTAACATTTCTTCTGCTAGTTTTGTTTTCATAAAAGGTCATTATTATTATAATTTTAGTATTTTAGAGCCACAATGGTGAATAATAAAAAACCGTATGACTCAAATAAGGAAAGATCATTATGTTTTAATAGACAACAAAGTGTCTTTTTCCCGTATTTATTATCAAAGCAAGCCTTATGGTTTCTTTAGCGGAAGTATCAGGGAACCCGATTTTTCTTAATTCTTAAACAAGTGCAAAATGTGTTTTTAGAGTGGATCGTAAAGCTTTCCGGCTGAATATTTTGTAATGCATGGAAGTTACTACGATCTTTACAAGTCAAATCCTCGTTCTGGATCAGTGAACGTAAAATCTCCAAGCAGATTCGATGAAGTGTGATAAAATGAAGCTTTTAAATTTTGGGAAAATCATAACTCAAATGCATTTCTCTTGCCTTTCCCCCTCTTTTTTGGGAGGCTCACGTGTTGTTTTACTCTGTTAGAAGTGTTTGAATGGTGTGATCAGCGGTGTGATATGTGGCTCACTCTCAGTTTCTCCCATTTACCCGCAGGGCATTGCCATGTCTCCCTTTGGCAATTTATTCCCTTATCCGTACACGTACATGGCAGCAGCCGCGGCAGCCTCGTCTGCTGCCTCCTCCACAGTGCACCGACACCCTTTCCTGAACGCAGTCCGTCCCCGACTCAGGTACAGCCCCTACTCTCTCCCGATGACGGTACCGGACAGCACGCTGCTCACCACTGCCATGCCCTCCATGGCCAGCGGCGGGGCCGAGCTGAAAGGGGAAGGCATCGTACCAGCGAGCCCAGTGTCCGCTGTCACCCTGGATTCCACGTCGGAAGTTACCAGTCATTCGTCCACAATATCCTCCGGATCGGTCTCCATGTCCCCAAAGACTTGCACGGAGAAAGACGCGGCCAACGAGCTTCAGAGCATTCAGCGCCTGGTCAGTGGACTCGACTCAAACCAAGACAGGCCACGGAGCGGGTCCCCCTAGGATTTTTTTTGTTTGTTTTCAAATCTGCTTCTTATGGGGTGTTTTGTTGTCTTGAAAAGAGAAACACATCGACACATTGAAGGTGATGACATCACTGACCCTCGTAGACTAATGCAGGGTTGTTGTTTTTTAAAGAAAAGCTCAAACCGTGAACTGTTGGACCTTTTTCGTTTCTGAAATGCACTTTGTTTAATAATCATCTGATCTGTATATTTCTTTCTCTTGCTCTTCTTTTTTTTTTGTTAAATTAAACATCACTCGTATCCTGTCATATGAATACCGTACAAGTATTGAAACTGAATCGCTGGCATGGGTGTGACTTACAGATTTAGGAGAAGTTGCTGCTGTGTCCTGTCTCCTAACGTTATTGTACACACATGGGGGGTGAAGTGTTTTTTTTTTCAATATGCACTCTGATTTGATTTGACTTATCTGCATTCACTACCGTTTGACCTACCTTTGAAAGACTGCTGTATTTTGTTGTACGCTCTTAATTCATTGAAAACGTTGCATGCCCTCTAAAATAAACCGAATGTCATTTCAACACTAAAAAAAAGTTAAACGAAAAATTGTGGGAAGATATTCCATTTGAATATAATTATCAGGTATTCATAAAATTTTCTTTTCAATTAGGTTATGAACTGTAAAAAAAAGAAAGAAAGAAAGAAAGAAAGAAAGAAAGAAAGAAAGAAAGAAAGAAAGAAAGAAAGAAAAGAAAAAAATTAGTTTTTCTTCATGCGTTTTTTTTATGAGATTAGGCCGATTCTAAAATGACTGGTGCTCCGAGACAAGTGTGTGACCCAGGCATGCAGGCAAAGGGAAGCAGGAATTTAAAGTAAATATAAAAGAAAAAAGAAATGAAAATGAAAGGTGGTATTGATCATCGCTGTAAATAGGAATATATAAAATATTTATGTAATTATTTCATATTGTTATTGCTTGTAAATACAACTGAGTAGTTTGTTTTTAGGGATCTGTTCTTAATTTATTGTCGATATACCTGTGTAAAGATAGTTTGTGGACTATTATCCTTTTTTGTTGCCATCTGCATTTATACCCCATTTAAAATATGGAATTTACCCCCTTCCCAAATATCCACTGAGCTAGTTATTCACACTCATGTGCCATTGTATTTTCACCTGTCCTCGTGTGTGAAGTCCTACTGTTTAAGACGAATGAAAAAACGACAACGCACTGCACCAATGGCTTGAAAAAACGTATACATTATTTTTGGAGAAGGGTTTTTAAAAGAAAAAAAGTGCTGTTGAAGTGTGAAAAAAGTGGACAATCTTTCTGTTAACATACTTTGCGAGTCTGATCTTAAAAGTGCCGCATACTCGAAAAAATGAAGGTTTCTTTTTGTGTTTCTTAAGTTGTCAGTGGGTTATGTTGTATTGGAGTTATGTCTAGTTTACAACATCGACATCGTGTTCTTGAAAGTTTCAATAAAATGTCGAAATGCCTTTCTTTTCTTTTCTTTCTTCTTTTTTTCTCGTTTTATCCAATACAGCGGAGAACTATTTTAAACTACAATTCGCAATTAAATTCGCATACCGGCCTGGCTGGGATTGTGCGATACAGTCCCAAAAATCTCTGCCACCATGTTTTTGATTACTTTGTAAAGGTGAGTGAAGTCTCTCTAGGCTGTGTTCAAAAAGTCAAATTAAGATAAGTCAGAACCTGGGATGGCTACCTGGATAAGAGGCCTCACGGTGTAATTCAGCGCCGTTTTTATGGGTCTCACTTGACGTCTAATGCAAGCTAGAGTTTTACAAATGTACTATGAATTAATCTTTTTGTGGAAATCTGAAAGAAAGGTGGTGCAGTTTAAAAGAAAATCTTGAAATAATTTTACAAGCTATGAGAATTTGGGGGTTTTCAGGCCAGCAATTTTTGGATTTAATATCGCATCTTGAAAAAGTTCATTTTGGCCAAACAGGTCCGCAATTTGGTTTCGGTTTAGTAAAAGGAAAGGAAAGGAAAAGGACAGCATTAGAGGAGCCACATGAAACTGACATTGCTGATGAGGCAGCGTGCTGAAGGTGTGTTACTTTCGGACAGAGACTAAGACTACGACATCCCTTGATTACCCTCTATATTGCTCTTCGTGTCGTGAATTTATCAGCGACACGATATTTGTATATTGTCTGGTTAATATGTAGCAAACCTGGCGCTAGTGAATAGGTGTAGACATCATACAAACTGTCTCAATTGGCCTGTCTTATTGCTCACCTGGCGCCTTCGATGGGCATATCTGCCATTTTATTGCACGGAAGGCGACAATGCGTCTGTAATAGTACCGAGATACGACGCCCCCAAGCGGCTACAGCGCAGGTTTATTAACTGCACACTAGGCCAAATGACAAATCTTGGGTGAGAGCTCTCTGAGGGGCCAGTGATAAAGTGATAACGATTGTTTGACTTGAACATACAGCTACTGTAATTTCAATAATTTGTGACATTTAATAGCTAATAAAGGAGTGTGTAATGACTTTGTTTAATACAACAAAAGTAGCACACAAACACACTGAAATAAAAGCTGTGCGCTTGATAGCCCCATCCCACGTGAACGACCACAGATACTGTAAGGGACATATAACAATATAACAATATAACAGTGCATGATGATGAACAATAAACAGTGACAGTAACAAAAGTACCGCATGTAAACTA